CATCTGAGGGAGGCCGACTGCGTGTACTCATTTACCGTGTTTGCATATTAATCGACCTACATTCATATCAGCCATGGCAGGGGCGTTACTGAAGAAGGGCTTTGACCAGCTTAGGAGCAAAGAGTTCAGGCAGTACTTAATGAGGTGAGGTTTTCCACTTTTTAATGATCTCAGCACCGGGAGAGGAGGTGGGCCGTTGCCACAAGATAATTACTTGTTTTTTTTCCTCTGTAATTTTCCCCCCCTCATCCCTCAGCATTTATTGACAGCGTATGGTAGTAGAGTATCTAATAGCATGCAAGAAATGATTGAATGACATTGTGGTTAGAAGAGAGAAAAAAATAGGGACAAGACTTGAAGACCTTGGGGTCATGTAAATTGCTCATGCTAGAACATAATCATGATTTCGTAATTAGATGATGCTAATTATCTGCAGGTGCCATGACCAATATATGGGTGTCTCAGGAAGCACTTGAAAGGTACTTCATTGTCACTGGGTTTGAGACTCCAGAAGGCTTTTATTTATCTTTAATTAATTTCTGAAAATGGGGTGACCATCTGTTGCTATGTAATTAATTATTTTTCTTTGGAGATGTAAACCTGCCTCTTTTTCATCAAAGGATCTAAGTTATGTGGGTAATTATATAATTAGTGAAGATATTAGATGGTGTCGCCAGTCATCATGAATATGGTTTATGTACGAGGAAAAATGAATAAATAGAAATGTGTCTTAAGATACTTGTAAACAGAATTCATCGCAGACACATCTCGGTTCGACTAACCAGAACAGAACAGTTCCCAGCATAACATGTAAATATATGTTGCTGGATTTGATTACCTTTGTTTACAGTCATTACCATCTTGGGTAATTGTATGATCGATTGTGACGATAGTGGTATCGATGGATTCCTGTCACCCTCTACAACCTATATATGTAGGACATTTGCTGCAAAACCCCCCAACCCCCACATTCTCAGCCCCGATATCAGGGGAGGGTATGAAGGCCACCATGGAAATAGCAGATTTAAATGAGTAATATACACAAAATATGTCACCGTATTCATAATATACACAAGTAAATAAGTATATTATGTAATGCAGAGAGCTGTGCCCCTGCAAACCTTTGGGGGGGGGATCTCAACCCTTGTATTTGAAGACAAAGAATTATATTCACGGCAGGGGAGAGTGTACAAACGACATTCAGGAGCAACTGATGCCTAATCTGTCCTTTGCTCTGTCCTGCTGTGTGTATGTGGTTGTGGGACAGTAGTGGGTACAGCCCCCTGCACTTGACCACATCTTGACCAATTCTCTGTGTATTATTTACATGTTACAACACAGTTTCCCTGGTACCATTCATACCTGCCCCTGCTATCAGAGCCAAGATTGTGGGTAGACTATTGGAGGGATTCCTGTACCATAATTTGTATATGTATCTGTAGTAGAGAGTGAGTAATCCATTGATACTAATATCTCCATGTTTGGTTATGAGAAGGTATTCTGAATATCTACTGAATCTTGTGATAAGTAGGTGACGAGGTGTATCTTTTGCATTGTCAGATTAATGGCTTTACCCTTTGGTTTGTTTCATCAAATGTGTTATGCCTGAGAGGATATTGTTTGGTGCCACTCCCATTTAATGTTTTTTATTGTATGAATTAGTTTAATTATACCATATCCTCTGGCTAGCCTCTGTGTTTCTCTCTGTACATCGCTCTCAGTAATATTAACTTTAAACACCAAAATATTTCCACCACATATATTCTAAGAAGACAAAGTTTAGTGTTTTATTGTCAAATAAGGAATCAGAGTATTACAAATAGTTGTTTACATTCTAACTTTGCTATTTTATAGTCTTTAATTACTGTTTAAAATTTACTTATTGTGAAAACCTTTGCTTTTCTATTTTCTACTCTTTGTAAGTATGATATTTATTATGATTACATTTTGTAAGAGCTTGCTTTTTGTAATTCTCTTATGAAATGTGAAAGTGCTTAAGAAGAATACCAAGGTTTTAGTTCCTTATTGTAATTGCTATCCATACAAAAAAAAAAAAAAAAAAAAAAAAAAAAAAAAAAAAAAAAAAAAAAAAAAAGATTATCCAGTGATTCTTAGATTTGATGTTTTTGAAATCTTATTCCTAGGTTGCTGAGATTTCATTCCTCTGCTGACAAATTGTATAAGGAATTGTTATAGATATGTGTAAGGGTGATGCCAGGGCATGACTTTATGGTAATTTGTTTCTTTATAAAGACGTCACCACAGGGTTGTTTACCAAGCCTTAGTTTAAAAATTTGTTGATCCTTGAAGAATATCAAACCGTTCTTTGGCCTCATGTGTCTTTCCTGACTAGTAGCTGAATTAAAGAAAGAAGATATCCTACATTAAACTTAATTATAAGTCAGTACTTGATAACTGTCCATTGATTGATGCCGATTTTAAGTTATGATTAAGAAAATGCCAAAGATTAGCTTCTATTGTACTGCCTCTGTTCTTATTGAATGGAAAGATGGACAAGATAACACCATGAGAACCAAAGATCAAGGAAGCGATTGTAATGTCCAGATAGCATCAGTGGGGAGCATATGTTGCAAGGTTTGCATTCGGATTGAACGACTGAAAGTTTAGGGTCACGTGGAGGATGGTATTTGGTGGATGAGGTATATTGGATATTGACTGTTGCGGTTTCTGTGTTGCGATGCTAGATTGCATGCCCGTCACTAGTCCTCAGTCTGTTTGTTTTGTAGATGTCGGCATCCTGGCTTTAGTTTTTAGATTTTGTGTGGGAAGACATGCAGGAATGATACAGGTCATGGCTATGATTATGTGATAACTTTGATAAGTTGTATTTTGTTGGGCAGCTCTGTAATGTAAACTTCATCATCATCATTGTTATTATTATCATTACCATTATCACGATAATAGTGATAATAAATATAATGATAATGGAGATAATTATGATTATAATTATAATTATAGAATAGTAATAATAACAGTAAGTATTAGTAATAATGATAATATGGATAACGATGATGATGATAATATTGATATAATAACAATAATAACAATAATAATATTAATAATAATAATTATTATTATTATTATTATTATTATTATTATTATTATTATTGTTACCATCATCATCATTGTTATGATCATCATTATTATCATTCCCATCACTTTCATGCTACACATTATTTAGATTATTGTTCTAGTTATTACTATTGTTATCAATATTATTGTTGTTATTATTATTGTTGTTGTTATTGTAATCATCATTATCATTATTATTGTCATCATCATCATCATTATTGTTATTATTATTATTATTATTATTATTATTATTATTATTATTATTATTGTTATTGTTATTATTGATTTTATTATAGACATTGTTATTGTTGTTTTCTTTATCATTTATTATATTTTATTATTTTTTTTGGGGGGGGAGGGGTTAAGGGTGATGATGATAATGATAGTAAAGATAATGATAATAATAATGATCACAGTGGTTATAGTAATAATTATTATGATAGTAATAATGATAATAGAATATAATTGTAATAATGATAATAAATAATGCTGATGATGATAGTAGTAATATATTGAAAATGATGATGGTAATGATGATAATGAAAATAGTAATAATTATAATAATGATAATGATGATGATGATAATGTTATTGTTCTAGTTATTGTAGTTTTTTTATTTAATTGTTTTTTTGAGGATTATGAAAATAGATATTACTGTTTTTTTAATACAGTTTTGATATAATCAGTTCAATTACATCTCAGTATATTTACTTATTGTTATAAATTTTGTTTAATTTTTTAAATTCTTTTTCCAAGAATGCTTTACTTGTTTTAAGGTATTAGAAGAAATGACAGTAGTGCCTGTGATAGGAAATTAAATAAGCATATATTAAATGATAGTATATATAAATAAGGGTATATGTCTTGAGTAATATATAGCTTAATATAGAAATCTCCCTAAACTCTTGCTGGTTGTTGTCATGGGGGTCTTAGGAGACTGAGATTGAGTCCCCGTGTACGGGATCACCACTACCCTGGACTTCAGCCATTGCATCGACTGATTTTGCATGGTCTTTTCTTCTTCCTCTTTCCTCTTCTTCCTCTTTCCTCTTCTTCATCCCTTTCTTCTGTTTACTTCCTAGTGTGAGAGCTGTGCTGAATGGATCAAAGGCTGGCTTTGCCTCAGTCCTGAACAGCCTGCAGGAGCCATGGGCATGGTATTCCCTTAGTTAATCACCTAGCCCTTTTGGGGATGCTGAAGGGTAGACCACTTCTTCTCCCTACTTATTTCTGGCTCACCATGGCCAATAATAAAACTTTTTTACTCTTATTAGGGGCATTAAGGATTGCCCCTTCCTCAACAAACCTATGTGAATTTGATTTCACTGGTTTCCTGACCATATCGACCTCTTCCCTGTCAATGTCAGAAATATTGGAGTTTTGGTCACCCAGCCAAACACTGTCCCTCCACAGCCCACTGCCTTCTGTGTGCCCATCCTGGTCAGACTGTTCAATTTGCTCTACTCAGTCATGTGTCAATTGTGTATTTTATTGGAGCTGCCCTGCCTACAAGTTCAAATTTGAGGTAGCAGTTCTCAGATTCAAACTAGGCCTCACTCTACATGAAGCCAGACAAGAAGCATGCTGACAAGGTTTTTCTCTTTCTACCTATTCCTGAACTGTACTTCACTCTGCTCCCCTCCCATCTTCTCAAGATATCTCAGCACCTACTACAGTATCTCTTGCCTCTACCCTGAACCATCCTATCTCTACTCTCTCTCTCCCCCTGTCAAATTCCTTTTCCAGTCTAAATCCAGATACTCCAATCTCTTTTACTTCCCTGATGTCTACACCTCTTCCTTCTCACTCTACCTGTCACACCAGGCAATCAAAATGCTCCACCCCATCTTCCACCACATCCTCTCTCACACCCATCTCTCCCTCTGCTCCTCAGACATCTATTCCCT